CCCCCCCCCTCCTCTCTGTCTCGCCCAAATCCTGCTTACCTCGTGCGCCCATATACCTACGCCGCCATCCAGCCAACGTAAAACGGAGGCGGGGCCCGCAACGGCATCACGGCGCACTACCGTAACCCGGCCGGTGTCGAGTGTCCCCTGGCGGTGTAAAGTTTCTTGCGTCAGTTTGAGCGAGCGAGCCCCGGGGTCCAGCAGCCCTCCACCTGTACACGCTACATGACTGTCTGTCGGGCAGGGTGTGCGCAGCCAGAGGAGGCGGGGGGCGCACGGAAGACGCCATATGCCATGTTCGTCATGCACATGGTACATGAGACGGAGGAAAACAAAGTTACTTCCATAGAGCTTCCTGGATAGACATACTTAAAATTAGCCCACAAAATATTGATCGTAAATAAAAATTTACTTTCACTAAGATTATAATTTAGGTAACCAAAATTACATTGTGACACCAGATATTGATTCTTAAAACAAAAAACTTCTAATTTTGAACACATATTATAAAATGCTAACATTTTCGTATTTCTCTTTAAAAGAGAAAAGTGCAGATTTCATTATGTTTTTTTGACAATTGGACTATATAACTTTCGTCACGTGGTCCACGGTCCACGTGCTGCTGTATTTAGTGGTGCGAGAAGAGCGGAGGTTACTATGACGGAGCCCTCTGCGCACCAGACCCTCACATAAACCGCAAACGTGTGGTTATTTGATAGAAACGGTGAGGGGGAAGAGGCGACTGGATGAGGCGAGAGGTAGAGAAAGACGAGAGGGAGAGAGAGGCACAGAGAGAGGAGAGAGAGACACAGAGAGAGGAGAGAGAGGAGAGAGAGAGAGAGAGAGAGAGAGAAAAGGGGGGGGGGTGACCGCAGCGCGTCCAGAAGTAGCCAAAGGCGTGCGATCCATTTCATTACCGAGAAGAGGGATGCGGCGCAGGGCGAGGGGAAGGGGGGAGAGGGGGAGAGGGGTAGAGAGGGAGAGAGGGAGAGAGGGAGAGAGAGAGAGAGAGAGAGAGGCGAGTAAGTGCTGCGTACCTTCCAAAACTCTACAGACACCGCCTCCCGCTTGATTACGTAGCGCGCTTCACACACACACATACGCATCCGGGCAAGTAGTAATCCCTCGGCAATTCTCAATATCAAACAGGTTTTTGGCCTTAATGATAAGGTACCTATCGGGTACCTATTACCCGAGCACTGAGAGGGCCGTAATAGGTAATAACACCGGCCAAGTGGTAATAGCGAGCCATTGCCGGAGCAATGCGAGCGCGGCGGCGGGCGCCGCGGGGCTAGGCGGCGCGGCAACGGCTTCGCGCGCCCCGCCCCTCGCGACTTTTCGGGGCAGCAGCGGCGCCGCGGCGTCGCCATCGGCGAAATATTTTGTACTTTTTCGCTGTACGCTGCTCGGCGCCACGAGCGGCCAGGCCATATAACAACCCGGCGAGGGCATAAAGTCTCTGTGGGTCAAAACGCGCGTGTTTCGCGTCCGACACGCCGCGCGCCGCGAGCGATACTCCGAAAAGGAGGCCCGTTTTATAGTGTCGTACACTTTGCAACAAGTGTGAAACCCTTTCAGGCTGAATGGTAAATGCCTGAATGAAAAAAGAGTAGATGGAGTTTGAGAACAAAACGTTGCTGCGTGCGCGCGTGCACTGGAAAAAATATTCGCGAAGTTCCATGGCTTTTGGTATGTATGATTAACAAAACGGTATTGTAAATTTACGAAATTTTAAAGACGATATGGCCTCTATAAGATTTTTCGAGTTTACAATTCGATGTCGTTTAGAACCTATGTCATTACAATCTCCCCCCCACCCAAAAAAAAAATCGCAGTAAAGATTCTTGGGCCTATGGGAAAAAGGGGGTACGGTGAGGGGGGAGTACTTACTCAACCCCCTTCACTTTTCATCACGTGTCGAGTTACCTGTTTTTGGCAGTTGCACTTTATAAGTGACATCTTATCCGGTAATGCGTGGGAGCGAGAGAAAAGACGGGAAGGGGGGAGGGGGATGGGA